ACAACCAATTTACTGTCTTCTATTATAAACTGTTGCTTCTACCTACTGCAGTGAGTAAAGATTTGTTCTTTGGTGTCCCCTTTCTTATGTGTAGCCACTTCCGACACCACCTGTATTATGAGATCATTTTCAGTGTTTCTTGTAAATCATAGAAATATTATGAGGCGATCATTTACTGATCTTGTTTTAGTTTTAAGTTTGAGTATGGAAGTAATGTCTGTTTCTTTGCAACATTTATTCTGTAGCTCCCTATTGTATATTGCATTGTACTAGCTATTGTAAAAACTAAAGCCTTTAATGGGTCTGCTTCAGATCTCTTAATAAGGATTTTGCTTCAGTGCTTTTTGGAAAAAAATTAAAACTTGCAAATTGAATACAATATGAACATTAAGAGAAAGGGGAGAAAGTTTGTATCTATTAATAAAAATGCCAAGAATGTCTTTTCAGGGTTTTTTTTTTAAAGTAACAATGACACTCTTTAGAGATGTTTTCTCTAATGTTTTTTCCCTGCCCATTATAATCTAGTATTTAAGAAATTAAAATACTCAGTTCCATATTGGAGACTGTGGAGAGGCAAAAGGATTTACCTTGGGGAAACAATGGTTTGGAATTGATAAAACCTTGACAGAGTCCCTCCAGCAAACAATTTCTTAGGTTCTTGTTACAGGTGCTGATTAGGTGGCTGTGATCACATCTCTAGATATAAAGGACTTCTAGATTTCAAGAGAATAGCATAATTAGCAACACCTTTATATTTTTATTCTGTCTTTAATTTTTCTTTTTTCCCTTTGTTATAGTGATAGGGAGAAGATACTATTTTATTCTCATCCCAGGAATATATTTGCATACTCTTTTGTTGTAGTATGTAAATTCTTACCCTGTTTGTTACATTCTGAATATTGCATATTACAAATTGGCCATTTTCCAAAGGGGAAAATAAAGAACTTGTCAACTTCTTGTAGTACACTTGAATTTGAATTGGAAAGTATTTTATTTTTCTTGCTTTCGTTTTTCAATAATTAATTATATTTTCTGGTAATTGATTTTTCAGCGAATCTAAATTAATATAACTGTGTGCAGTATGTTAACCAGGTCTGGTAGCCTCAGAATCGTTTCTGTTAACTGAATGGGAGAAAGGAAGAGTGGGTGAAAATCTACAAAAGCTTGTGTTAATTATGATACATCCCCTCCTGGTAGAAAATCACGTTCAGACATTATCACATTGTTAGCTCATCAGAGTGTCAGTTTGCAGAAAATCCTCTCATTATTTTCAGCAGCTTTTATGAAATTGTTTTAAGAAGCCCTGTGAATGGACTGAGCCCTAGTATTTGGATAATTACCATTTTCATAAGAAATAGACTTTGAGCCTACCAAGAAACTAAATCATCTGATGTGGCATTTTGCTGCAAGAGAACAGTATTACTTTATAATTTTTTCTACTTAGCAAAGGAAACATCAATTTACTTGACTCTTTTTTTCTGGTATCATATAAAGAATGGGATGCTAATTGAATAGGTGACAGAATCTGGGAAACTAAAGAAACACTGTGTAAGAATTATAAACAATTTTCATTCACTTGAATTTTCTAAGCATAAATGTAATCATTTGTTTTTATTCTCATAAAGAAAAATAAACAATCAGGTTTATGGGATAAAATTAGTTGTCTACATTTAAGAATTTATGAATAGAATAATAAAAAATAAAAATTTTTAGAAGGACATAAATTTTAGGTAGAAAAATTTGGAAACTTTATTCACAGAGGTATGGGCACCCCTGGGTTCACTGTGGTAATCAGAGTGGACAAGACATGGAAACAACTTGAGTGTGTTTTGATAGATGGTTAGATAAAGATGTGGTACATACATACAATGGAATACTACTCAGCCATAACAAAAGATGAACTGCTGCCATTTGCAACAACATGGATGAACCTTGAAGATATTATGCTAAGCAAAATAAGTAATCAGAAAAAGTTAAAAGCTGTGTAATTTCACTCATCTGTGGAATATAAAACTGAAACTCATAGACATAGACCAGAGGGCAGGAGGGTGGGAGGGATAGTAAAGGGCAAAGGGGACCAAATGTATGATGACAGAAGATGACTTGACTTTGGATGGTGGGCACACAATATAATATATAGATGATGTAACATTGAAATGTGGACTTGAAACCTGTATAATCTTATTAACCAATGTAACCTCAATAAATTTAATTAAAAATAAATAAGAGGATATAATTTTAAGGTACTATTTATATTTTATGTTGTATATATGTGAACTATTTTTTTGACAGTCATGATAGCTACTCAGGTATCTTCATATTCTCTTGGTATTCCTTGTTTTTATAATATCCAGATTAAAGGATGCTCCAAATGAAGGAATATTAAATATAGATTTTATAGTTTGAGTAGCTTTATAAGTGAACTCTTGTATAGTACTTTTGTTCTCTGTGCGTGCTGGGGGAGGTTTATCTTTTTTTTTTGTCTTATTTCATTTTATTTTAGGCCTGTCAATAAAATATAATTTTCAGAGATTTTCTTCCAGATTTATAATCAAATGTATTTTATGATTATATAATTGGGGAAAATCCTATAGTTGTATTATATTATAGTTGTTTGCATTAAGAATTCTGATTTTTCTTTGCATTTAAATCAGTTTGGGAATCATTCAGTAATACTTTAATTCATATCTATTTTTAGCACCCAAGGATATAACATATTCAATATAGTTGTTTGCTTAAACAGTTCTTAGTTGATGTGTAAAGTTCATTATGTTTGCTGTTGGGTCTTGGGCTTTATGTTTCATGACTTTTCAAGAAAAGGATAAATGGAGGGCAGGAAAGGAAAAGGAGAAATACTACAAATACTTCACTTACTGGTGTACTACATAAATGGGAAAGTAGACTGAAGACCATGAGTCATATCATCAGAATTAGCAGACATTTCATTGAAATGTATTTTATTTCTGTTGATTAAAAATTGCAGTATGTCAGTCAATAATATAACTTAAAATTTTAAAATGTGAACTCAAATGAAAGAATAAGCATCCTGAAAAGGTAATAAATTGTGCTTTCATGTGGACTGTAATGTACAACCACCTGTGTTTTTTAGTTCTTCCCTAAGTGTATTATAAGAACTGTCAAAGCAGTGAAAACACAAAGAAGATTAGAAGTCAGTTCTGATTCAATATGTTCTAATAAATATGAAGATAAAAGTCTACATCCTGCCTTTTAGCCGTAACTTGTAGCACAGTGCTCATGGAAGTTTAACATCTAACTATTCCGTAACTAGGAAATGGCAAATGTCATCAAGTGTAGATTTTTAGTATTTTGTGGAAATTGCTCGCCTTCTATTAGTGACAGGCTTACTGAAGCCTAGATTTTCAGCTTTGCACTGTCTCAGCCCAATGGTGTTACTCTGTCAAAGCTGAAGTACAGCTCCCCTTGCTTCCTTCTGGTGGTTGGTAGCACCTGGGGTCTTCTAAGGGCATTATGATTAAGCTTGGCAAACAGTTTTCTATATTCAGCAAAACTGGAAATTGGAAATACTTTTTCAGATAATACTTATCTAGCATCTTAATATGTATGCATCAGATACTGTTCTGTATTCTGGTGACACTATACCCACCTACTAGAGTATATATCTACCATATAACCATACAAATGTAGTGTAATAAATTCTGTGACAATGTAAGCACAGAGTGTACTAGAAGTACAGAGTGGGGCCATCTATTCCAGATTTCTCAGAGGAAGGAAAGAAAGCAGGGATCAGGGAAGCCTTCCACAAGGGGTGACTCCAGAGGTAATGAATATCTAGTCCTAGAAACATGGGATCCATATTAGAGTGATAGATCGTGCAATGCAGATGGCTGTAGAGTACATCCATCTAAGGTAGATGTATCTAAGGTAGAACTGAGGATTCTCCCTTCCTCTGCTCATCCTTCTCATTTTTACCATTTTCTTTTTCCCTCCCTCCCTTCCTTCTTCCTTATCTCACTTTGTCCCCCTCTTCCTCCCTCCCTCCATGCCTTTTTCTCTCTTTGCCTCTTTTCTCCTTCCCTCCTTCCTTCCTAACCAACTGCATATGGACAGAATTTTGTTAATTAAATGAATGGTTCATTGGTTTATATTATCACGGGACATTTCCTGGCCCTAATTTATTCACTCATTTATGATGCTGAAGTTAATACATGTGTAATATTAACAATTACTTACACCTACATTGTTGCTTTTTTATTTAATCCCCTCACTTGTCCTAAAAGATAGCTATTACCCTGAGTTGTGTATATAATCCTTTTTTTCACTGTGTTTTTCATATGTAACATACCTAAACAATACATTGCTCAGTTGTTGTTTTTTTAACTCAACAACAAAAACAATACTATATGTAATCTAGTTGGTATTTTTTTTCTGCTCAACATCATACTAATATGATTTACTATGTTTATATTTGTAACTGAATTTATAATGTTTTTATTTCCGTTAATTTTCCATTTTGTGAGTATACCACAATTGTGCAGTCTCCTATTGATGAGCAGTGGAGTTGTTTACATTGTGTGGTTATGAACCCTGCACACTGCTGCTGTGAACCTGTCCACCTTGCTCCCTGAGACATATGGGGAGTTTTCTGCTTGCCATGGCATGTGCATACTATCTAGTGGTGTGTGATTTTGGTTTACATTTTCCAGGTTACCAATGAGATTGTGCATCTCTTGGTATATTTATTGGTCATATGTATTTCTTCTAATCTTTCAGTTATAAGACTTTATTAGTCTATACTAGTAAATACTTGTTATTTTTACATTTGAGTTGTGATATACTAATCATAAAAAGGTGTACAGCCATTAAAGTGAAATAGATGTATTTTAGTAGTATAGAAAATTGTGGGTAATTTCAATATATGGTCAAATAGTTAACAAATTTAAAAGAATAGGAAATAATTCTATTTTGAAATTACTTTCATGAATATTTTTATAGCTTAACATTTATTTTTCTTTTGACAGAACGATTTCGAGATTTACTGCTTCCTTCATCTAGTCAAGACTCTGAGATTCTGCCCTTTGTTGAGACTAGAAAATATCCCAAGTAAGCAATAGAAGTTCACTGGGTATTGAAAAGGGAATGGGCAAGTAAGTAATGGGAGAGGTTTGGGAGGACAAAGACAAAATGTTTTCTTTCATAAGATTTCTGTAAATAAGCCAGGATAATATAACCTAATTAGTTTGGGAATCTCCTGCAATATAATGTCTCAGGCTCTGCACAGCTGGGCCTGAGGGAAAAAAAGACTTGCTTGCAAGTGCAACCAGCTCTGGCTGGGAAATGTTGCAAAGTGCAAACCCTAACTGTCTGTATCAGTGCCTTGTCATGGGTTTCATTTTGCTTGGTGCTGCATCAACAGAGACAGATACTTTTTTGGTGATCCGTCATCTGGTTTCCTGTTTCTATTTTTTAAATGCAAGGATTCATTCACAGTGTAATAAGTGGCCTTCAAATCACCCGTGCCAGATATGATTTTAGCAATTTCTGTATATTCCTCTTTACTGTCTTTATAGTCTTTATGAGAAGTGATATCTCCTCTCTTAAATGCCACAAATATACTTATTGGTTGAAGGCATATGACTTCATCTTTCTAGAGAATAAAGAATTGCCACTTTTTTTTTTAAGCATCCTCTTTCTAAAAGCTGCTGAATGTTGGTATCTTGATCCTTCCTGTGGAAGCTTGGAGCATCCTCTACTCTATGAATGTCTGACTCTCTTTCCTAGCTAGTATACAAGAGGCTAAACAATTAATGAACTAATATCTTAAATAAAAAAGAAAGTTCACCAAGTTAAAGAATTAAAGCTTGGTTTACACATTTTTTATCAAAGCTAATTGACATGTTAAATGATTCATTCTTTGATTGGTTTAGCAGTTTGTTCAAGTATTCACTGAACTTCTATTTCTGGTATAATTTTCTCCCCTAATAGTTAGCTTTAATAATATTTACTTAACTCTCTTGCCCTGGCTGGTGTGGCTCAGTGGGTTGAAGCATTGTCCCTTAACCAAAAGGCTACGGGTTCAATTCCTAGTCAGGTCACTTACCTAGGTTGCTGATTTGATCCCCGTTCCAGGCACATATGATCCCCAGTCTGGGCACGTACAGAGGACAACCAGTCAATGCTTCTCTCTTCCATCAGAGTTTTTTTTTTCTCTTCCTCTCTCTCTAAAAGGAATTTTTAAAAAAATGTCCATGGGTGAGGATTTTTAAAAATTCTGAAAATAACACCCTGGCTGGTGTAGCTCAGTGGATTGAGCACGGGCCTGCACACTAAAAGGTTGCTGGTTCGATTCCCAGTTAGAGCACATGCCTGGGTTGTGGGCCAGGTCCCCAGCTGGGGACACATGAGGGGCAACCACGCATTGATGTTTCTCTCCCTCTCTCCTCTTCCCCTCTCTCTAAATAAATAAACAAAATCTTTAAAAAAATTTAAAAAATAAAAAAATTCTAAAAATAGTATTTACTTAACTCTCACAACAAAAATAAATGTAGAATCCAAATTATTAGTTCATTGTATTAAATATTAATTCCAATTTAATCTCTAGCAATATTCTTCCAGTGCCCTCACACCACCCAAAGGGACACACATGTGCTGGACAGCCTGGCATACATACATTATTCTTGTATGTACATGTTGATGGGGAGGATAGAGGTGCCTCAAGTGACTAATGCATGTCTCTCAGTATTTTTTTTTCCCACAGCTGCTATTTGCACAGGCCAGTGATGCCTTCTTTTCTGCCTCTTAGGCTCCTGTCTACCTGATACCTTTGCTTAAAGAGGAGAATCACAAAGGTTCTCAGCTGGTAAACTGTTTGCAGCTATTTCCTTAGGTTTTCTTAGCTACATGGTCTTACATGTATTCTTCATGTTCTTAGATTACTTTTCTGGTAGTGATGTGATACATTCTAATATTTAAGTGAGACACCATATGATAATCTTTTGCCAATGTCTGAGCCTTGAGGTAAATACTCCTTTTGGTATCTGTGGATTTAAAGAATAAATAGTATCCATTGCTGCCACATACACCATATTTATGGCAGCTAAGAGTGCAGACTCTGAAGCAGATTGCCTCACCAGCTGACGTTGTGACCTGGGACACCTAACCTTCTGTTTCTCAGTCCCACAGGTGTGCAAGGAGGAGGTAATAATACTTACACTCAGGGATGTTATGAACATTAAATAAAGTAAACACAGAATATTCAGAAAACAGCTTAGCACTTAGGAATATTTTATTCTAACTGAAGGTTTTATTACTACTCACCTAAAATTGCATATAGAACTAACTAATTTCCCTAATTCCAGAATGTTAGGGGAATAGATTATTGATCAATTTTGGAGGATAGGTCTTATATCAACAAAACTTTTGTCAGCCTGCCCTCATTAATACTTAGGGAAGTATAGTTATTCACTGTTTCTAAATTGTTGCTAGATGCTAATGTGAGATGCTGCTTTGGTGACCACCTAACATTTTTATGAGGTTTAGTTTTCTAAACTATCAAATGAAAGTATACTAATTAAAGATTTCTGGGTCTGAATATTCTCCTATAGAAAAACTCTGAATTAAATATAATTTGCCTATTTAAGTTACAGAATGTTGAGCATTTGCATCTTCCTATTGCCCATTTAATGTTTAGTTTGGCAGTAGAATTTTAGCAGGTGTTGGTGGAAGGGGGGTACAGCTAATACACTTCCATTTGTGCTGTGCCTAAGGAGTGTTGACTGGTCCAGGGAAGGGATAGGAGTTAAAACTGAGCATGTGTGTGCCCATGTGAAAGTTGTTGGGGTAGGAGAAGAGAGAGATGTGGGAGGGCCAGTTAATAAGTATGTATATGCCAGGATTTGTGTATGTCCAGACCTAATTTAAACAAATTTTGGATTATTTATTGTTTTAAATATTCTCCTTTATTCTCTCATTTATATTCACTCTCAAATATGCTCTCATTATTCACTATTGCAGATAACTAAAAGTCAAAGAATTTTAAATTTTGTGACACAAAAATTGCTGGAAAGCTGAAAATTAATCAAACTATTGTAATTTGGTGCTTTTATTTCCAACACAGAATACTTACTCACACTGAGATGTTTTCCCTCACTTTAATGGTTGTTTTCCTGACTCACTGAATATAGACTATATTAGTGAGAGGTGTTTTAAGAGCTAAAACATGGATAAAGAAGTGACTTATTTGCCCTATATTATATAGTGTCATAGTGATATTTACTGAGTATAATGTAGCTGACCTTTAAGGGAGATTCAGTCTATACTGGTTAATGTAGGCTGATTAATGAATGGTGGTAATTTGGACTGGGGGTGAGTTCTCAAGTCAGCATACTATCTCTATGATCTTAAGCATCTTATTATCAAGAGACACCTAATAGTAGGGACACATGATAAAAGGTAAAAGGTATTCTTTATTTTAAAAAAAGGAGAAATTCATGAAGAATTGACTAGTTCTTGAAATGTGCATGTACATACCCACACATGTGCATTTTAAGGGAAAGCCATTTTTTAAAATGCTGCTTGCCATGGTACTGGATAACACTGTTCTAAAACATGATATTGTTCATTAATGACTTTCTTACATCTGTGAACTCGCACTTAACCCATTGCCAAAACCAGGCACATCCATTCAAATCAGAATGTAACTGAAGACATTGTGCCATGCAAATTCTCAGAGCATGAATAGGTGTGACTATTCATGAGAGACAGAAAGAGGTGGATGAATGAAAAGAAGAAATTAAATGTATACTTAATACAAAGTAAATGTTGATTCATCAATCAGAGGGAAGAAATAGAGATAATGAAACTTAAATTTTGTTGTTGATTCCCTATCAGGGGTGTCAAACTCATTTTCATTGGGGGCCACATTAGCCTCAGGGTTGCCTTCAAAGGGCTGAACGTAATTTTAGGATTGTGTAAATGTAACTACTCATTAACAGTTAAGCGAGAGCTCAGCACTGCCGCCAGGTAGAAACAAGGTGATGGGCCGGACAAAACAAGGTGGAGGGCCAGATTCAGCCCACAGGCCTTGTGTTTACCACCAGTTCCTTGGTTGGTGCCATTGTTAGTAACTTTGAAGAATTTAGGGCTAAAATGCATTTAGACTAGAAGGTGGCTATAAATAATCCTATCCTTGTAGGTACAGCGTACAGTTGTAAAATGATTTAAGACATTTGGCATAATTTTACTCACAAATGACTTGAGACCATTTTTGCAATTGGGCCAGCAAAACATGATTGAGTAATCACTGTGTAAAGTTTTATCACAATGCATATAAAAATATTGTGAAAATACAGAAATAAAATGCTGCATATCTCTGTTTGGTTTTCATAAAGATCAAGTTGCCTGTTAGAGAGAGGAATATTATTTAAGACAAATTCAGAACTGTTCCTGTTTGGCTTGGTTTGACACCAAACTTTGATCGTTCAGGAAATAGAGCAGTGTCTCAACCCAATCTCATTTCCAACAGGCTGCTTAAAATAGGCTTCAAACAGTGATATTGGGCAATGTACTTACACTGCAAAGCCTCAGATAACCTTCCAGATGTCATCTATTCTCCAGCTTATATTTTTTTTACTCTCAGAGCAAGTTTTGAGTTCCTCTCCTTCTAAATAACCATCCCTCTTCAATAATTTTTATTCAGTCTGCATGTCTACAGTATATTTGAGCTATATTATTTCCACTCATAATACAAAATAATAACATTTAAAGAATTCTTTTTACATGCCAGGTATTGTGTTAAGTCCTTTATATGCATTATTTCATTTAGTCTTTATCATTTCCCTATGAGTTAGGTAGTACTATTTCTCAAATTCTCAAATTTTACAGATTAGGGAGCTGGAATAGAAGGGGTTTAAGTGCCTTACCTAAAATCACATGGAAGAACTGGGTCTCACACCCAGGTCTCTTTGGTCCCCAAAGTACACTTAATTGTATGTACTGCCTCTCATTCATTTATTCATCCATTCTTCATTCATCCATTCTTTGAATATTTACTGAATAATTACTGTGCACCAGAAGCAATTGGAATTACTGAAAATATAAAAATG